GACCCCCTTCGGCCGCCCCTGCTTCTGGTACAGGCGGCCCCCGCAGTTCCCGCAGCAGCGGCAGCAGCAGAAGCAGCATCCCACCAGTGGCACGAGGATGATGAAGAGAAGCCCGATGGCCATGCAGACCAGGAAACCCAGTTCGTAGAGCAGCAGCTGGGAGAGGAAGAGTAAGAGGCAGCGTAACACTGGTGCCCCTGAAGGGTCCCCAGCCCTGAGGGTCCCTTCCAGACCCCCACAGGGCAGGATGGGTCCCCCCAGGGGGTTGCACATCTCCCCTTGCTGCTGCCTAGCACCCAGGGCTCAGCCTCAGAAGAAGCACCCACCAGCATCCCCTAGCCCATGGTGGTCTGGGGGTTGCTGGCTCCCTGCCCCAGCTGCCCACTCACCTCCTGGACTTGCTCCTCGATGGTGTCCTCACTCTGGGGCTGCCCAAAATCTGCAATCAGTTCTGGGGGACAAGGAGAGGAGAGGGCTTTGAGCAGGTCCTCCATGAGGGCCCCACACCCTGCTCACCCCAGAGAGCGGCTCCCACCACTGGGCATCACCTCCAGCGCTGCAGCTCACAGCGGCTGTGAGTGCATGGCAGGTTTCTCCCTTCCCGCTGCCCCTCCCCAGCCATCGTGTCGCACAGCCCTTTTGTACCCGGGAAAAGCACTGCCAGCCCCCAGGCTCTCAGGGGTCCATGCAGCAAGGGGGTCCATGGAGCAAGGGGGTCCTCACCCCAGCGGGCACCGGGTGCAGGATGCTCTAACAACCACCTCGGCTGCCCTTGGGGTGCCCTTCTGCAGCCCAGCCCCAGGCAGATGCCTGGCCGGCACTGCCAGCATGGGATGGGTGCTTGGCAAAGTCCCCCCACCTTTCATCCCCAGGGCTCGCCCTGCCCGTGCCTCATCGCCTCATTACAAGCCATGCCGGCACACATCGCCGTGTGATTGTACCCCGATATGTGCGCGATACGAACAAGGCCACGAAGCCATTGCATTGTTTGCCAGCCACACATTCGCCTGCAAGCGGCTGTCGAGCAGGGGCTGCGCCCAGCAAAGGAGGAAGTACAGGTACCAGCAGCCAGAGCCGCAAATGCCACCTTCAGGCAGGCAGCGCTCGCCCCGGGGGCATCGAG